AGCAGGAGGAAGGTGTTCCAAGCAGAGGGAACAGCATGTGCAGATGCTCAGAGGTGGAGATGGAAGGGAGGGGACTTCATTTCAAGGGCACTGGGGAGCCATAGAAGGGTTTAGAGCAGACGTTCTCACCTGGGGTGGTTTTGCCCCTCAAGGGATACTGGGCGGTGTTTGGGGACATTTTTGGTTGTCGCAATTGAGGGATGCTCCTAGCATCGAGTGGGTGGGGGCCAGGAATGCTGCTCCACACCTGGCAGCGCCCAGAACCTCCCCACCGCAAAGAATGACCTGGCCCTGAATGTCAGCAGTGCCGAAGGGGAGAGACCCTGGTTTAGATCAGGGAAGAAACAAGTGAGATTTGAGTTCTAGAAAGATTCCTTTGCTACCTTGAGGAGGATACTGAAGGGGCAGGACTGGAAGCCAGGGGACCAGGTAGCGGGTGGGAGCTGGGCTATAGGGCCCTCAGGGCATGGGAGGGACTGGGAGACCGACATCCTTGTCTTTGGCTCAGGAACAATGGGGCTGGTAAGAAAAGCCATTTGGGTTTCAGGGTTCCCAGGTTGGTTCAGAGGGGCTGGGGGCAGCTGTGGACAGAGGGAGGACAGGAACAGCCTTCTAGCCCCGAGTTGCTGCATCACAAAGTTATGAAAACCAGGAGAAAAAATGAGCCGTGAGGTCCCATCCCGACCTGGGGCCTCAGTCTTCCCATCTGTGAACTGGGTGTTAAATAACTGCTGGCCTCACTGGGTTGAGGGATGGCAGAACGGGTGATTATCAATCTTGCCGTGACCATTCGTACGCTGAACCCCCAGGAGCAAAATCCTGGTAGCAGAGAGCCCTGGGTTCAATCCAGCTGCTACATCCTCTCTGGTGGGTCATGGCCCCTCAATCAGCCCCTCAGTTTCCCCATCTGCAAAATGGACTGAATGTTATACCAACCGTACTAGAGCCATCAGGGGTCTCCATGAAGCAATTCCTGGAAACCACCCAGCCCGGCCTCTGATACTCAATATACCAACAGCAACAATAATAATAATAATAATTAGCATTTACTGAGCACCTGCAGCATGCCAGGCACTTTGCTAACACCCACCACAGGCCTGTCAGGTTGATACTGTTACCATGCCCATTACACAGATGAGAAAACTGAGGCCCAGAGGGGTGGAGTGACCTGTTCAGGGTCACACAGCATGTACATAGCAGAGCTGGGATTTGAACACTTATGGCCTTGGAGCTCCTCCCCTCACCACAATGCTGCATGGCCCACGAGTGGAAGCTGTTGTCCTGAAGTTTCTGAAGTTAAAAATTATTCTGGGGGGCTTCCCTGGTGGCACAGTGGTTGAGATTCCGCCTGCCGATGCGGGGGATGCGGGTTCGTGCCCCGGTCCGGGAGGATCCCACGTGTCGCGGAGCGGCTGGGCCCGTGGGCCATAGCCGCTGAGCCTGCGCGTCCGGAGCCTGTGCTCCGCAACGGGAGAGGCCACAACACTGAGAGGCCCGCGTACCGCAAAAAAAAAAAAATTAAATTAAATAATTCTGTGGCTTCCCTGATGGTGCAGTGGTTGAGAGTCCGCCTGTCGATGCAGGGGACGCGGGTTTGTGCCCTGGTCCGGGAGGATCCCGCGTGCCGCAGACCGGCTGGGCCCGTGGGCCGTGGCCGCTGAGCCTGCGCGTCCGGGGCCTGCGCTCCGCAGCGGGAGGGGCCATGGCAGTGAGAGGCCCGCGTACTGAAGGAAGGAGAAAAAAAAAAATTATTCTGATAAGACATGGGGTAAAAGGCACAGAGCACCACCTCACACCCATTAGGATGGCTACTATCAAAAAACAGAAAATAGTGTTGGGAGGAGAAATTGGAACGCATGGGCAATGCCAGTGGGAATGTAAAATGGTGCAGCCGCTTTGGAAAAGAGCATGGCAGTTCCTCCAAAAGTTAAGCATAGAATCACCATATGATCCAGCAATTCCACGCCTGCATATACACCCAAAAGAATTGAAAGCAGGGTCTCAAAGAAATATTTGCACATCCATGTTCATAGCCATTCACAACAGCCAAAAGGTGGAAGCAGCCCCAGTGTCCATCAACAGGTGAATGGATAAATAAAATGTGGTCTATCCACACAATGGAATATTACTGAGCCTTAAAAAGTCAAGGTATTCTGACACTCATCACAACATGGATGAACCTTGAGGACATGATGCTCAGTGAAATAAGCCAGACACAAAAGGACAAACACGATCTGATTCCACTCATAGCAGGTCCCTAGAAGAGTCAGATCCATAGAGACAGGAAGTAGATGGTGGGGGCCAGGGGCTGGGGGAGGGGATGGGAAGTCAAGTTAATGGTGACAGAGTTTCAGTTTGGGAAGATGAGAAAGTTCTGGAGATGGATGGTGCGGATGGTTGCACAAGAATGTGAATATACTTAGTACCACTTAAAAATGGTTAAGATGGCAAACTTTGTTATACATTTTACCACAATGTTAAAAAAAATGTTTAGGGACTTCCCTGGTGATGCAGTGGTTAGGAATCCGTCTGCCAATGCAGGGGACACGGGGTTCAAGCCCTGGTCCAGGAAGATCCCACATGCCGCGTAACACCTAAGCCTGTGCACCACAACTACTGAGCCTGTGCTCTAGAGCCCACGAGCCACAACTACTGAGCCCACGCACCGCAACTACTGAAGCCCACGCAGCTAGAGCCTGTGCTCCGCAACAAGAGAAGCCACCGCAATTAGTAGCCTGCACAGCACAAGGAAGAGTAGCCCCTGCTCGCCGCAGCTAGAGAAAGCCCAGCGCCCAGCAACAAAGACCCAACGCAGCCAAAAATAAATAAATAAATAAATCTTAAAAAAAAAAAAAAAAAGGCACAGAGCAGACAGAACACCAGAGGCGGGGTGCCCCGGCAGGTGTTGTAAGGAGGAAGCTTGTAGGCTGGGGTAGGCAGCAGCGGGGCTGGTGATCCCGTTGGGGGTCTTGAATGCAGTGTCTGGGGCCTGGCTCGGGGGTCGCTGGGAGCCACGGGACGTTGCTAAGCAGGGGAGGAGCCGGGGAAGGAAACTCTTAAGGAAGTAGAGCCAGATCCGCGCACATGTGAGATCCTGGCGTCCGCTGAGTCACAAATCCTGGAAGTTCAGGGTCACAGAGAGGAAACTTCGCTGTTCCACGCAAGGCCTTCCTGTTTTTTGGCCCTGAAACCTCAGAGGCAGGCATTCCAGGGCCAAAGTTCCCGCCTCGCATCCACCTCCACGGGTTCGGGATCCCCTCACCCCAAGGCTGGGGCAGGGCTCGGAGATGTACCTGCTGCTCAGACGGGTAAACTGAGGCACGGGGCTTGCCCGGAGGCTGCGGGTGTCTTCTTGGGGCCTCCGGACTGCACTCCTTCTGGGAGGGGCGTGGAGGGCTGGGTTCCAGAGGGTGAGTTCTGTTCACAGCGCCCACCAGGTCATCACTTGGGACGGGTGGGGGGTGCTCTCCAGTCTACACACTTGGAAGTTTCTCCAAATTCCCTTGAGCGGGAGCAGGAAACAGGCCCCCTGAAGAGGTCGTGAGGCTCCTATCACAGAGGTATTCCAGGAGAGGACAGAAAGGCTGTTATCGGGAAGGAAGTCAGACTTACCGGGGCCTCTGAGGTCCCTGGCCAGCTAGAATATTCTGCTATTCTAAAGTACTGCAGTTCCCAGATTGTGGTTTATAAAATTCCGAGAGCCTTTGAATTTTTGGTTTTTGAGACTTTCATTTTAAGGTTTTTGTGTTTTAACTCTAAGAATTCTTTTTTTTAAATTTATTATTTATTCATTAATTTTTGGCTGCATTGGGTCTTCGCTGCTGCACGTGGGCTTTCTCTAGTTGCGGCGAGCGGGGGCTACTCTTCGTTGCAGTGCACGGGCTTCACATTGCAGTGGCTTCTCTTGTTGCGGAGCACGGGCTCTAGGCCGACGGGCTTCAGTAGTTGTGGCACACGGGCTCTAGAGCGCAGGCTCAGTAGTTGTGGCGCACAGGCTTAGTTGCTCCGCGGCATGTGGGATCTTCCCGGACCAGGGCTCAAACCCGTGTCCCCTGCATTGGCAGGCAGATTCTTAACCATTGCGCCACCAGGGAAGCCCCAATTCTAAGAATTCTTAAAACATATGTTTTGAGGTTGAAGTTTTTATAAATATATGTTTTGAAATGTATTATTTGTTTTAATATATTTATTTAATTTTGGCTGTGTTGGGTCTTCGTTGCTGCACACGGGCTTTCTCTAATTGCAGTGAGCAGGGGCTACTCTTCGTTGCGGTGCACAGGCTTCTCATTGCGGTGGCTTCTCTTGTTGCAGAGCACGGGCTCTAGGCGCGCGGGCTTCAGTAGTTGCAGCACGTGGGCTCAGTAGTTATGGTTCGTGGGCTCTAGAGCCCAGGCTCAGGAGTTGTGGCACTCGGGCTTAGTAGCTCCGCGGCATGTGGGATCTTCCCGGACCAGGGCTCGAACCCGTGTCCCCTGCATTGGGAGGCGGATTATTTTTGTTTTTAACATCTTTATTAGAGTATAATTGTTTTACAGTGGTGTTGTTAGTTTCTGCTTTATAACAAAGTGAATCAGTTATACATATACATATGTCCCCATATCTCTTCCCTCTTGGGGAGGCGGATTCTTAATCACTGCGCCACCAGGGAAGTCCCTGTTTATCTATTATTATTATTAATTTTTAATTTAAAATTATTTAATTTTTAAAATATTCTCACGATTATCCATTTTTTGTTAGAAACCGTTTCCTGAGCTTTCACTTAAATGTGGTCAGAAAGTTGTTCTGGTAATTAATAAGTGCTGGTGTTATTGTTGTTGCCATGATTGTTGTTATTTTTAAATGATTACCCCCCCCAATGGGGAATTTTTCTGGAAATTGAAGGTCCCCGCCGCCGCGGCTCTCGCGCTCCCTCTGCTGGCAGCAGTGGGGACTGCAAGCCACACGGCTCACCGCATGGCCCTTCGCTCGCAGGTGTCACCTCCTGTCGCCCTGACCTCGCCATGCGGACCCCGCGAGCGCCCCCTCCCCGCCCGGCCCTACTGCTCCTGCTGCTGCTACTGGGAGGCTCCCACGGCCTCTTCCCCGAGGAGCCGCCGCCACTCAGCGTGGCCCCCAGGGACTGTGAGTGGGGGGCCTGGAGAGGGGGAGTCCCAAGGGAGGGTCTTGCTCCCCAGCTGGATCTGCTGCCCCCTCCCCCGGGGGCTCACCAGGCCAGGCTCACCCTGGCCCTGGATCACACCCCTCCTCGCCCTCCCCCCAGACCTGAACTACTATCCCGTGTTCGTGGGCAGTGGGCCAGGACACCTGACCCCCGGAGAGGGCACCGACGATCTCAACATCCAGCGGG